AGCAAATCCTGCTTTGTACTAAGTGTGGAAGGGGTTGCAGTTCTGCCAGCCAGATCCTATGCAATGTTATACACACCTAACTGTGAAAAGAGCTCAGCTGGTAGCAGCCTATGCAAAAATGTGCAAACTTTGATTGTGGAGATAGAATTTATTTACCTTCATTATTATACTAATATCTCACTTTTCCTCTCCAAGTAGCTCAAAGTGGGCTATAAACCCTAGCCCCCCAGGTTGGTCCTAAATACACCACTCCTGGAAATTTTGAGCTGAAAACGACCTGAAGGTGCGGATACTAGTATTGGGGCAGATTCAATTCTACTTGGAATGTAGTCTACAAATTTACAGAGTTTATATCAATGTTGTTTTAATGTGTCCAGAGAACCCTGGGAACTGTCATGTTGGAATATTCACCTCAGAATATCACAGTCACTATGGATTCTGGAGAGAGGGAATGCCTTTTTAGTATGCCCACAAAATCTAATCTGAGGCAAAGCTCAGCCATGGACCTTGTCTCGTCCCTTTTTCTATTTTAAATTGATTCGTTATCACCTGGTTAATAATTAATTATGTATTCTGTTCTGTATATACAGCTTGTATCCCTTTTATAAACTTTTCTCCATATTCCATTTTTTCCATCACTTTCTTCATAAAATCCCAAGATATATTATCAAACGCTTTTTCCGCATCTATAAACATCATTGCTGCTTTTATCTCATTTCTTACTTCTAGATATTCTATTACATTTAAAATATTTCTTGTATTATCTTTCATCTGTCTACCTGGAAGGAATCCCACTTGATCTGGATATATATAAACATTTAAGACCTTTTTCAATCTATTAGCTAAAATATTAGCAAATATTTTGTAGTCAAGAGGTAAGTACGTTTGAGCACATAATGAGACCGTTTCCTCTTTTAGTGTGTTGGTGTAGCTTAGTCCCCACAGTTGTTTGACCAGGGAACATTAACTTCAAGGTGACTTTTAGCCAAACTACAGTACTTCAAGCTATCAGAGTCAAGTGTTGTCATACATGCTGCAGTCATAGGCAATGACTAGCTGGTCTGTGTCTTTCATTTCTAAAGGGCCCTCTCCCATCTGCTTTGTAACAATCTCTAATGCACGTATACCTGAGTTAAATATGTTTACACCTGATCATATCCACAAACTCAGCTTCTTATAGGGCACAGAGTAGCAAAAACTAAAGAAAAAGCCCTGTTCCATTTCCTGATAAAGTTGTTCATTATCATAACCAGGGCAATTTCTGTCCCAAATCGAAGTCTGATGTTTGTTGGCTTTGGGTCTCAGTGATTCAAAGTAGCAACATGCTTGTGGCTAATCAGTTGTGATAATGAGATATTTGGACATGCTGTGCAGTCTGGGCCTATTCCTAAACGTTATTAAAAACTGGAATTCAAACAACTTGCAGAACAATGAGGTTTTGAGTTTTGACAATTTTACTGTTGGGGAGTTGCTGAAATAAAATTACACAACTGAGCCTCTGTAAAATTTTGAATAGTTCAGGATGTTTATGCCAACCATACCAAATTTATAGACACAAGTAGCAGCATAGCAACATATACAATACACTGTTAACCAAATAACATACTGAAAAAAATTATCTGCTTGGTACGCCAGAACATTCAGATCTCGGTCAGCACACAATGAACCAAATGCGTTGAGATCACACTAATCTTTGTTTTATTTTGTTAGATGAAAAACGGATGTCAGTGCAATTGTAGTATGTTGCTTCAGAAGCATGAACCACTATTTTCAGAAAGAATTAATTTTATCTTGTGATAATTCAGCCAGGTCCATTTATATGAATGAGTATATTTGTTTTGTTATGCTCATCAATGTCATTTAAACCAAAAGAGGAACACTTGTATTAACAAGGGTTTTTTTACAAGGCCTATTAAAAAAAAATATTGCCCCTTATTTCAGATTCCTTAATGCATTTTTGCTTGATTTTATATTGTTTTGATTTTAATGGAGATCCTGTAAACTACATATTGTATTGGCCTGAAAATAAGCTGCACTTTCCCCCCAAATCTGATCATGAAAATATAAGTGCAGCATATTTGCAACCTTATGCCATTGGCAAAGTGGTGCAGCTCCACCCCCCAGGAAGCAGCCCGGGAGTGTGGGGCAATGGCGCCCATCCCATCCACGGCTCCCAAGCCGCCAAATTTTAAAGGTGCCGCCTATTTGCAGGTTTGGCTTATATTCCTGCCAATACTCTGCAATTTCTAAAATCCATTGATAACTTTGGGCTTTTCAGATGTTTGACGGGGCGAACTGAGCTCTTCTAAATGTATCTAGGGTAAGAAACAGTGATATGACAAACTGCGCAGCAGAGGCTGTGCACAAACGATACCTTTTAGAGCACATTCCAAGCATATTCGTCCCCTTGAAGAATTCTGGGCACTGTGGTTTGTTAAGGGCTGCTGGGATTTGCTACTCTGTGGGGTAAACTACAATGCCCAAATTTCACTGAAGGAAAGAATGTGATTGTTTTAATGGTATAATGGGTACTAATGGGTACTACACACCCAAAGAGAGCTAGGTCTTAGGGAAGGCAGCTCCTGAAGTAAGGAGTGGGGAGCAAAGTAACCTTGGTATCTGATCCCTAGGAAGTCCCTTGCAAGGGAAACTAGGCAATTAAAATAGATTTGCAGAGGTTTAATATGCTAACACTGCAGTCCTATACACTCTGTACTGGGATTACACTAGAACTCAAGAGGGTACACTTTTGAGCAGACATACAGTATATATGTGCTGCAAAAGGTTTGGGCTGGCCATGCTTGTGGAAAGGGTGAGGGTGAAATAGCAAAGGTCAGGTCGCAATCTGGCCAAGATGCACAACCATGTATTAATTGTGCCTTGCCAGTGGTGTGACAGACAGGGCATTACCTTGTGAATTGCCCTGAGACCTATGATGAAGGGCAGTATGCAAGTCTAAAATAAAATAAAAAAGCAAGCAAGCAGGATTTTCTTTCACAGCGGGAATAAATTTTGGAGTGACATGGTAACTGATGGGATCTTCCTTGCTCTGGCAAGTGATTGAGATGATGTTTGTGTCAGATTAGCACAAACTGAGAAAGAAAATAATCAAGCAGAGGTTAAATACTACTTTTCTTTTCTTGGATAGGCTTCCTATTTCATGCTAACATTAAGAAAAAGTTAAGAAAATGGCTCAATTCAGGCAGTACGTCTAGATTTTGTTCATGCAGAATAGTTCGCCACATCACAAGTTACTGTAGTCTTCGCTATATATTTTTTAATTTAGTGTTTGGAGCAGCACTGATGTTTCACTTTATATTAGTATGAGTTGCTTCTTTGGATCCTGTGTGTTGATCTTGGATTATACCGAATGGTTATTTACCATAAATATTTCATAAACATTCCAGTTATTTTTTAATGACTCCTCATCTGCATCTTTCTCCAACCTATGAACAATGGCTCCATTCAATCAAAATGAAGCCATTCTGAAGAGACCAGCACATGGAATACATAAACAATTGCTTATGAAAATGTGCTCTGTGCCCATTATCCTTGAAGACACAAGTAGACTTTCAGCATATAGGTCACATATACTGAAAATAAATAAAATCCACACAAGTTAATACTACAGAAACACAGAATGCTTATTTATTTTGCATAGTTTAGGCCTGCCCTTCCATCACGTGATCTCAGTGTACGTTACAATATAATTAAAATAAGAATTCCAAACAAGTTCAGTCATGAAAACCTCCAGACTTGCAGCAGTAGCGAACATCCCAAAAATCTCCAGGCAAAAATAGGTACATATTTGCCTAGTACCAAAACACTGGAAATATTGGTGCCAGTTGGGTTTCCAGGAGGAAAGAATTCCACAGGTGTGGAATCACCACAGGGAAGCCCCTATCTCATATATAAGTTATTTTATCACATAAAAGCAGCAAATGTTATAAATTGCTCTGCTTCCAACATGACTTATACAGTGCAGTCATTCAAGCACTATGTGAAATAAATGAGCTTGGATCCTTATAACCCCATGAATGGGAACTCTGCTCAAGGATTGTTTCTGCTGGCACCCGGTTTCCACCAATTGCCCCTTCATCTCCCTGTGTACCCCTAAAATCTGCTAAAGTGTTGTGGGCCCAGTTCAAGGGAGAAGGTGCTAGCCACAATCATCTAGCCACTTTTACCAGTGGGAACTTTCCTGAATCAAAAGCCTTTCCACTAACAGAAGTAAAGCTCGGAATCCAAACCAGTGGTTGATTGAAATACTGATGAGTAGGCTGAGTTTTCCAAAGTAACAAACCATGACTGAATTTCTGTAATATAAACAATGAAAGTGTGGGGTGGGTGGGTGGGTGCTACATTGAAAAAAAGCCACCAAAAACAAGACATTTCATGTCATTTGGAGCTTCTTGAGGCTATACCCCTTTTAAAAAATAAACGTGTGCAGCTAAGACAAAAATGGCCACAACTATAATAGACATTAATGGCTTAGCAAACTCAGGTGCTGAGTTAAAATGGTTATGTAACTCAAAATGGGGCTACTGATGAATAATGGGAACGTTTGCACAAATAGAAAAAAAAAATCTTAAGCAGGTGAAACTAACGGTTGCAACACTCTCCCCCCAAAAAACCACCTCGTTGAGGAAGTGGTCATGCCTTCATTTCCTGCCAATTCTTGAACCACAGCATATGCAGCAGCAGTTTCTCTCCTATGTTTTGAAACTGCGCCCTACCCTTCCACCTTATAGGAATTCTGAGTTTCCAATGGCAACTTACAATGTGGCACAGCTAAATTATGTGTGAAAAGTAGGGAAATCGGCTATATGTGCATGCATGCAAGTGTTACATATATGTGAAGACCATTTGGTCTCCAAAAGACTCATATTTGAAGCATTATACTAACGGAGTACTTTGCAAATTTACAAAGCCGCTTGCCTTAGTCACTCCCAATTCTTTCAGTTTAATGTTTTCAAGCTTAATAAACCACTAAAACAACATTTTGAAAAAGTGTCTTTACTTTAATGAGCTTAGTAACATCAAATCAACAATACAAAAAATGTGATTTCTTTTTCTTAGCTTTATACATTATTGTGGACCACCTGAAAACTGGACTAAAAAAGCACCTCTCATTAGTCCTGGCCTAAATGTTTGCAGTACATAAAAGGATAGATATTACTATGCGTTTTGTGAATGAAATGTGAACATTAACTTAAATAGCATAGATATATAGAAGGAAGTGCACTGTGTAATACTACAAAAATGTATGTTAGTGTAGGATGAAAAATGTTAAATTGCAATTAACAAATCTGAAGTTACTATACACTGATTATCAATGTCCTAGTTTGGGCTTGTTTAAATTATTTAAACTATTTAAATTATTTTAAATAGTAGTAAAATTTTAAATATTTAAAATATATTTCCTCTATGAAGACCTGTTTATTGGAAGACAGTTTGAGTTTCCTTTTTAACATATATTACTTAAAGCAAAAGGAAAATGATACAATGTTCTGTTGAAGAAGGCTGTACAATCCAGTTGTATCACTTTTGATGCAAACAGAGGCTTAAAAGGAGAAGAAAAAAAATCAATGATATACATCATTTAGAGATGTGGAAACAAATGTTTGTTGGATTACCAATATGCAGGTGCAAGTATTTAGTTTAGCACAGTGTTATCGATTTGTTTGCTTGCCCCCACTGATAAATTAAAAAAGAATGAGAACTTCATGTTTATACATTTGAGTGGGTACTGAATATTTGGAAATCACATGCACATCTGTAGCCAGCCAATTCCACATTCTTGCAGTATTATGAGAATGCAGAGACGCAAGTGACGAGTGTGTATCCTATTTATGTATCCTATTGAAATCAGCTACATCACAATCCTAAATACAAAGTGGAAGAAAGTCCGAACGGTTTCAACATACATTGTATTTAGGTGAGGTTTCAGGTGCTCAAATCCTATAACTCTACTTATTGTAAGCGCACTGGCAATTCTCCAAAGCATATCCAGCACTCTCTCAAAATTGCTACTTGCAGGGGGGGGGGTGTCCTTGGAAGGAAGAAAACACAAGGCGGTTGTCTAAGACGAGTAACGTTCAATTTTTATCCCAGAATATTTAGAAAATATCTCTGAGCAAATAACCGTATTTCTCAAGTAACGTTGCTGTTACTCTGCCCCTTTATAGCTACAAAACATATACCCTGAATGCAACAAATACACAATTATTGCTACAACGAAGGCAAATTTCTTCAATCTGTTGGTATAAGATGCCTAAAATCTTCGCTAACATTTTATTTTATTTTCCCAATGGCATTTCATTCTCCTAAACTTGCTTAATTTTGGATACATAAAACACTGTCTGCCTAGCATGGTGATGTTCTCTGTTGTTTACAGGAACCATGGAATATGCTCAAAACTAATTAGAGAAGTCTCAATTAAGAGAGAAATGATAGTGTGCAATTGTGCCTAGGAATACACCCAGGCCCCTACAGCTGCAGACCTTTTCCTGCGCCACAGAGTCACAAAAGACATTGTGTGTGTTCCAAGATGTCCACACTTCATGTGGGACAGTGATTAGGCCTAATAGGCCTCACCAATGCTCAACATGAAGTTGCGTACCCTAGAACAGACACTCCTTGCAACGTACAGGCATTTCTTGAAACACAGGGAGGGCAAACAGGTTGATGCAAAAGAGTTCTCTGAGGGCAGGAAGTTGAACACCCATCTAGCAATACAAAACTGTCTTTTCCGTTCTACTCCCATATTCCTGAGAAAGTTTCTTATTTATCATTCGCTTGATAAAGTTGTCACCGACTCGGCACGAACCTCCCAATTACTCAGAAGTAAGCTGCAATGATTTAAACGAGACTTAGTCCTAGGTAAGTGGGCATAGGCTTTCATCCTGGGTCTACAACATGGGGCAACCCCAGCTCTTTTGTTTATCTATTGAACCAATATATGTGTAAGCTTGTGTTGAGATGTATATTGCTTTGCTGTAGAAGAACACATTTTGTTTTTGCACTTTGAACCTTCAGTGACTGGTTCTTAAGTATTTCAATTCTAAAATGAGAAGTAAGGTAGTTATCTTCCTCCAGCTGAGCAGGCTATTTACATGATGGCCCCAAGGAGATTGCATCTACATTATAAAAAGACTTTCAAATATCTTCCTAACACAACATACTCTCACAGAGCAATGCTACAAAAGAAAGTCTCAGAAGTTCTACAGGGCTTGGATAAGCAGGTAAAAGACTGCAGCCTTAATTATGAGTGAAGATGTACATTTGTTTGCAGGGAGTATGTATATATGCTGAGGTTTCCAAGATAATTCAGCAGTATTACGCTTCTTTGTTTGCAGGTAAGATTCATGCCTGAAATGTTTCTAGGAAGAGGGTCAAGATGCAGCCCTAACACTGGTATGAGTCCAGACCATTAGTTCTTCTACAGAACTAGCAGAGATACAGCAAAATCACAGTCACAGTAATACAACTTGGCTTTTTTCAAGGCAAGTGCAGTATGAAGATATTTTAAGACAAATATCAACTAGAAATTTACCAAAATTTTCATTGCATCCCCCCCCCATCAGAAAAAACGAAGTACCACCACATCCTACAATATAAAAACCTTTTGAAACTGCAGAGGTAAACCAACATAATAGGTATCAAGATCAAAAATGTTGTCCTTTGATATTTTGAAATCCTAGTTTAATTCATGATCACAGCCTTTCATTATTCTTTTACAAATCTAAGGTGCAATGAACATATGTACAACTAAAGAAAATACACCATGCTACATACAAGAATATCCTGATTGGCTAGTGAATGAAGAATCCTGCTTTCTTGGCTGAAATTAAGGCACTAAGTGGCAGTGAAAGGACAAATGAATTATATATATATATATATATTTATGTATATATATTATCTGACAAAAGTACAATATGTTTAGTCCTTTTACAAGCAGAGGACTTACACATTTTGAATCCAAGACTGAGGTAAGGCATTCTGTTGGCAGATGAAGAAATTTTCCTACTGATCAGAGTTTAACACATTTGTAGTCTAAGTGGGACTACTGGTCCTACTGATTAAAAAAATAACCCAGCTGAGAAAGACAACTACAAAAGAACGTCTGAGGATTTGAAAAGGCACCAAGAAGCAAACAGTTCTGCCATTACCAATTTTTAAAAAAATGTCAGCTGTGTTTAACACTGCATATATAGTATATCCAATCATCAGTCTTCGGTATCCAGAAGAGAAATGTAGTAGCTATTCAATGAAAATTTCAATTATTCATGTTATTTTAGTAATAAATTTATTTTCATTTATCAGAAAATAAAATGCAGTGTTTAAACACAACTTAACTTATAAAGCAAACTTATAAAGTCTAGTATGTCTTATTCCTGGTTAACACTGGAGGAAACCTGTATAAACAAAAGGATTATCTTAAGATATAGTTTACAATATGAAATTAATATATAAAAATGAACAGAATTTACTGAAAACCATGAAAAGTGTATTACAAAGATACACAAAACAATTGTAAGCCACAATATTTTCTCTGTGAAAAATACAACTATTTGTGAGATAAAATGTACAACTGATTTCTTTCCAAAGGGAAAAAAAGCACAGTATAAAGAAAAATACGTTTTTCTTCAAAATAAAAAATGGGGGAAATAGTTAAAGTCATTGTTTTTCATTACAATATAATTTGACACAAAATAGCCGTCAAAGGATTGCACCAACTCCATGTTCAGCCTCCTGAACATAACAGCAGTAAAAGGAGTCCATAAAGAAGAAGGATAATTCTGAATTTGTGATGGCGATTATTCATGTACAGAATTTCATGTCATATTAGCTCTGTTTGCAAAATGTAGAAGACTCTACTTGATCAGACAAATGTAAATATTTGTTTACCACCTAGACTCTTCCTAGTGTACAGAGCCAGAAAAAGCCATGGTATTTTCACCGTAGCCCAAAAATATATATTTAGTGCATGCTTTGATCATTTCAAAAATAAACCTGTCATTTCAATACAAGAGTTTACAAAATAGAAAAAAAATCATTCTTCAGATTAAAAATGCAGTGAGGTTCATTTGTAGTTCCATTTTCATGGCAGCATAATTTTTCCACGGAACCAAGAACACCATAGATTCCTCAGACTCAGAATAGTCTGGCATGACCAGATTAACCAGAGCTTCTCTGACCTTTCAGTTTCTCATGATGAGTGCTATAGAGGAAACAAATGTAACATTTGGGACAGTGTCCGTTATGAACATTTCTGCTGTACATGATTCAAAAGTTCACCAAACTTCTCAAAGAGGTCTTCTACCCATTTCATATTTTTCATGCATTGCTGTACAATCTCCTCCTGGCCTAGATCTGCACTCTTCTTTTGAACGGAAGAAATCTATTGAGGAGCAATGGAAGCAGGAGATTAGTTTGCAGGTATCTATTCATTCTCAATACTCTCAGAAGTCAGAGGTCTTATGTTTTAGTGGATTTATTCAGCCACCCACAAACCACCTGTGACCAAGGGGCAACCTCATAAACAAAATACAATGCACTGATACTAATGAACTTCCTTGTGCAGCCAAATACGTTCCTTGGCTGAAGCTCTGTTTCTGTACTCATGAAAAACCTACAATATTATTTAACGACTTTACACTCCCTGCAGGTATGCAGCTTGCGAGTACTTCTGGACCCAGTGCTGTCGCTTGAGGCTCAAGGTGGCCTCGGTGGTGCAGAGTGCCTTCCATTGGCTTTGGCCAGGTTGCTTACCAGGGCAAGATGGTTTGACCATATAATACCAATCCTAGCCCGACTGCATTGGCTGCCAATGATTTTCTGGGCCCAATTCAACCTGCTGGTTTTGACCTATAAAGCCTTAAACAGCTCAAGACTACACTACCTCTCTCTCTATATGAAGCAACTGGGACCCTGTAATCATCATCGGAGGCCCTTCTTCACGTGCCCCATCCACAAGAGGGCAGGAACACGAGATTAGGCAATTTCTGCGGTGGCTCCCCACTTGTGGAACACGCTCCCCAGGAAGGCTTGCCTGGCACTTCATTATATATCTTTAGGCACCAAGCAAAAACATTCCTCTTCTTTCGGGCCTTTGGCTAATTATACAATCTATGGCCTTTTAAACTGTGTGTGTGTGTGTGTGTGTGTGTGTGTGTGTGTGGTGGCAGGGAGTACTGATTTTGTTTGTTACTATGGTATGCATTTTTATATTGCAACCCTGTATAAAAGTAACTAAATACCATAAATAAAACTGGCAAGTTTTTCTTTTTGTCTGAGCTACCTGCATTCATTTCAATCCACAGAAATTGTTCAATGACTTAAGAAGCTTTCAGAATAACCTTAACGTTTCCTGTTCACAAAAGCTCTTGAAAACCCCATATTACTGTAACCAACAAATCTTAGTATTTTAACTAGTATAACTTCCACAGCATTTTTATTTATTTTATTTCAGAATTTATTAACTACTCCTAGATTTATAGATAAATGTGACAGAATCAGATAGAAAAAACTAAAAAATTGCTATCATCAACTTGATAAAAACTGACCTCAACTTTACACCTCAGAAACATGTGGTATTTGTAATGATGGAGTGAGTGATATAAAGAGCACAATGATATCTTTTCTGGATCTACAGCAAACTCCTGCAGAGAAAAATAGTTTTTATTAGCCATGAAGTTAACTATACACAAGGCCTGGGTCTAGATCAGGGGTCTGCAACCTTTAAGACAAAAAGAGCCACTTGGACCAGTTTCCGAAGAAAAAACAACTGGGAGCCGCAAAACCATTGCGACATTTAAAACAAATATATCTCCGGAGCCACGATCTGACAGCGGGCGGGAAGGTGATGTCGGGACGGTGCGTGACTAACATGCGACGTCACAGCCAGTACAGCGCCCGCCACAGTGGGGAGTGTCGGGGTGCACAATGTGCCTCCTCCCCTCGCTAGTATCCGCCCTGGAGCCGCGGCAAAGGTGTAAAAGAGCCACATGCGGCTCCGGGGCCGCGGGTTGCTGACCCCTGGTCTAGATTAATCCTTTGGTTTGAAAATGGAACTGAGATCCAGCAGAGACTCTTGCAAAGGGGGTTGAGGGAGGCACTGCTCATTTTATTTCACCTTCCCACTGCAGTCCCTGTGCATCCTCCCACATTGTTCCAGTGGCGGTTCCACCCTGCCTGGGTCCTCCTCCCTCTGATGTGCTTCTCAGATATCACAATGGATGAATAGGTGAATGCTGGTTTCTTGTTCACTCTTGGATTCTATTTTCTCTTAAGCATTCACCCCCTTGCACTGAATTCCCTCTGTCCAAACATCACTGTGCAGCTGCCTTCAGTTTGCTGCTGCTGCAACTCCCCCATCTCCCCAACATTTTTCTCTCTCCCACTTCAGATAGGCAAATTGCAGACTACTTATTTCTGTTTGCTATATTGATAAAAAAAACCCTTTCAGGAAATGTCTTCCATCATTTCCACCTGGGTACCTTAGGATGGCATTCAACGAAAGCAGTTCAGTGGGGAAAATATTTGCCAGATAGTTAAATGTCTAGGGCTCACAGAGGCACAGATTTAGAACAGAGATTCGGAGAACCACTGCAGTTGCTTACATACAGTATTAACATGTTTTGATACAGGTTGAAGTCAAATGTGAAAGCTACTATGTAGGGGGTTAAAAAGGCAACAAGGAAGCCATAAATAAAATTGTCAATATTATCAGCCATAATGGCAGACCTGGAACCATCAGAGATGCTTACAGTAAATCTGACTGCACATCAGCTTAGAAGTCCCACTTGAGTTCAGTGGGGCTTACCTACTCTCAGGGTAGGTGCATGTAGAACCAAATAAAAAAGGGGGCGGGTAGTTCAGTACTTTTGTGTGATGGCTCATTCGCAAGGAAAATGAATACCTCCTGTTGTGAAATCTTTCCTTCAGAGAGCCCCTTTTCTATTCTCTACTTCAACATATTTACTTTTTTAAGAATACAATTTCTTACTAGGCTTCAAAGGAAATGAAACAAGTAAAATATTTTTTTTAACTGCTGTTAAACAATTTATGAACAACTGAAAAGCATAAAGTTTAGTACCGCATTTAGATAATGCATGTAAAGATGATTCTAGTAAGGATGTTAATATTCCATTAAAAATATAACAGCAAACCACCCCCAAACACTTTAAAAAACACATACCTGTGCTAATTTTGAGGCTGCTTTAGAAATCCTCAGTGTTTTCTTGTTATAAGCTTTGCCATTCATTTTGATTCTAGGAATTACACTCACTCCAGTTTTTGTTTTAGAATCTCGATTGATTACGGTCAGTTCAGGGAAGCTTTCCAAAGCAGCCTTAGAAGAGAGCAAAAAGGCAGAAATATACAGTCTGTGCAGGATTCCACTACGTCAAATTAATAAGCAACAAATTTTATTAGAATTCTTTGAGAAAACAAGTCTTTAAAAGAATGCAGGAGCAATTACTGTTATTCGAGTTCTTAAAAATATATTCAGTTAATCCTGTTCAGGTGATTTACCCAATTAAGGTAAGATATAGTTTCATATTATGCTAACTGGTGTTTACAGGAAGTCTCCCTTTCATCTGAAAATGCAGGATTATAGCTGGGCAATTTTTATCTGAAGGGATAAAAATATATACAAGAAATCCAATAGGAATTTGCACTGATGTTTTATTTGCTTTGTATGATTAGACATCACTTCCCAAAAGATCTCAAGCAATTTAAGAGCAGTAAATAATTAATAAAACCATTTTAACTATCAATACCTTGAGTGAACGCTCCAAGCTCAATTTGGACAGCAGCCTTTTTCTATTGTCGTTTAGCATGCCATCAATTTTTCTCATATGAGGCAAAAGCAGCTCATCTGAAAAAGCAGAACACAATATATGATACTTCAAAGCAAAGCAAGCACTGGCCAAAAGCAGAAAGAGGTAAGAAAAAGGGTCACGAACAAGCTCAGTAAAATATACCCAGACGACTCAAACAAGTTAATCTGTATTTATAATCTATATTTCAACCTATTTTGTATTTTATATATTGGAGTTTACTGTATACAGCTTAGATAATCAGTTTGAAGCAGTATCTAAACAAGCAAGAACTCTTGCTTTTCTAGAGGGGAGGATTGAGGGATGTGAGTATAGAAACCTGACTTTTGCATGACTGGAATTAGCCTACAATACAAAGAGTCAAATCTGCCCTCCCCTCTTTGCCTCTGGCCCCTCCCACCATTGACATGTGGCCCCTCCCCTAGAAGGCTGCCCCTACCAGTGATCTACAGACTACCATTTGGGACCCCTGAACTCTAAATGCTTGTGATCTCAAGTTGATGTCTTATCCGTTCCTTGAACAAAGATATCATACGGGAAACAGAAATAAGCTACACAAAGTGAAAGGTTGAACACACTGTACCATTGCTCCTCTCCAACGCCAGCATAGTATCTGGATCCAAGGCAATACTAACAAGCAGTTCCATGTAGCTCCTAAATGTTTCTTTCATAGCTCTGGTGTTCAAAAAACGAGCAATGATAGGAGCTGGAGGTGCAGTGTCTGAAATACAGTATCAGAAATACAAATATATTGTTCCAATTGCATTTTGTTTACAGGCCTAGAAATTCATTACGATTCTGGTGACCTCTAGTGACCATTCAAAGAAATACATTATGCATTATTTTAGTAAGGACTGAGGTGTTAAGATCCTTAACAGTTGAAAAAAAGCTTCAAATAATTTAAACAAGAACAAAATATGGATTCTTACTGGATTAGTTATAAGCTGAAAAATAGTGCTTAGGAGGAGTTTTTATGATTATACTGCATTCAAATTCAAGCTTAAACTTTTTCTTCATTTTGGAAAATTAGCATCCTTTGCTTTGAAAACCTAAATGAAAGATTTGAAAATAACATGGCTGCTACAGAAGAATTAACCAATGCCCAAACACACTGCAAGTGCCACTTAAAATTAAATGTTAAAGAAGTCGTTCCTAATAAGGACAGTGGAGTGGAGACTTGGGAGAAACCTTTCTGCCTGACAGAAATTGCCAAAGGTCAAACCAATCCAGAGTGTGTTACCAACCCTATAGCCAACATGGCCTGCCTCATCTCTTAGATGCCTACGTATTCTTGAGCATGCTGTCTGCAAAGAGTTGCAAATGTGTTGGCGTTCCATGTGACTGGGCTTCCTGACCATGCGGGGTGCTTATACATGTATGCATGTAAGCATCCCTTCACAGACACTGAGCTGTAATGTTGGTAACATTGAGCTGGGTCCAAGAGGTGCAGCCCCTGTTCCCTCCTCCATATGCAAAGTAAATGCGTGCTGGCAATGTCTGCATAAGACTCCACTCATCCCACGTTATGAAGCAATATAAAAAAAGTTGCCCTCTTCAAAAATGGTGGCTTTGAAATGTTCACAATTACCATGCAACAAAACAGCAAATGACATTTTGTGACGCAATGAATTTTTGTTCTACTAAAAGGGGGGAGGAAAAGCAGCACCAAAAGCAAGAGAAGTCATGAAAGAGGCTGAGCCTCAAAGTGGTGCCAGTAATCTTTATAAAATATAGTTTTTGCAAAATAAAGTCCAATGTGTTTTGGTTAAAAGCAACCTTCTTCAGGGCACTTATTAAGAATGAGGTTTTCCTATCAAGTTAGCAGCTCTCCACCAAGTTTTGCTGAGATATTTGCAAAGCTTATTAATTTTTTTTGAAGATATTACATAATCAGAACACCTACTTTTGACATTGTGGCACTTACCTTCCTCGTCACTCTGGAGTTGAGGGGCAGGGGGCAATTCTTCTTTCCATGTTTTCCGTTTCTTTGGTGGTGGTTCTGCCTTTATCTTTGGCTGCTTAGCTTTGGGTTTCACTACAGAAACTTTTGTTGTTGCAGGTGTAGTTTTTGATGCTGGAGGCTCAGGAGATTTGTTGATGCTAGTGCTTGGCTTACAATGGACAGGCCTACAAATTGAAAGTGAGAGGAAATGAAAGGAACTATTGCGAGTACGAGCTTCACCTTTATAAACTGAATTAACCTCATTCAGGTTATTCATTAATTTATTATTCTCTCTGCATTAATGCCTTTATGGACTTTTACTCCATTTTCACCTGCAGACAAGCACAATTGTTTAAATGATCTAACTACTGGGAAAGATCCACTGCAGCGTGAGCAGACCTCTTCCACTCATGCAACAGGGCTTCTCCTTCTCGTCTTCCCCCGGACTCTGCACCCACCCAAAAAACAAATCTGCTCCAGAAGGGCGGAGCAGCTGATTTTGAGAGCACAGTGAGAGGAACTGGATGAGGAAGAAGTCCTGTTGCAAAGCAGGTTTCCATTGTGCAAGTGAGTGGTCATGATTAGATACAGCACACCAGTTCTGAATGTGTTGTTAGCTGGTAATCTGATGTGTTCAAATTCACTCATGCCTACGCCAGGTTGCTCCCACCCAACCATTAGATGCTGAAAGACTAACTAGTAGAATTTTGTGAATGGGAGAAAGGAGGAATGTCGCTTCTCATTTAACAGCAACCAAGCTCCACAGAAGGAACTAAGAGGAAACCCAAAGAATGACACTAATCTGAAAAATATTGGCTGGGGAAAAATGTATCTATGAACAACATCACACAACTATGGTTTAGAGCACTGCCAATGGGCTGCAGAGAGTCTTAGGGTCATGTGCTCATCATAATTCAATATGTAATTCAATTTAGTTGTAAGGCAGCTTACAACATGAAAAGATTCACATAATTATAAACATAAGTAGTCATAAACAATAAACAAAGCACATCAAAAAGCAGCCAACCATAACAAACCATAAGATCCAAAAATAAAGATCCAGAAATTAGTAGCAATAACAGCAACAAAAGACCCCCAAAGCAATACTCCTACCCCAGAGTCTGTTCAGCAGCCTCAGCTTTCGTAGCTAGAGTCTGTCAGGGCCCCTCCTTCCCAAACCAGGTGGAAAAAGGCTAGCAAAGCAGGGAGCAGGTCTTCCAGGACTCAGAGCCAAGATGCTCCCGTTCTGTTCTCCATTGTACACAAGGAGAGTGAAAGTTCCATATTCTCTTTTACCTAAACCTCAGTTCCCAAAGTTTGTACATAATGGGAAACAATGGTTTAGTCAAAAGTGAGCAAAGATACTTTCCCTCCTCCTCTTATACATGGAAGAGAACCATGCACGCCCAAAGTGTGTAATTACGCAAACCAGTCCACGTTTTCAGTCTATTCTATTTGTTGCAACTACAAATAAATATTATGGATGTCTGCTGTAAAAAAATACAAAATATTTCTATTAAAATCTACAAATGTTAAAGCTTTTCTATTTGACACTTTATTTTATCAAAATAAAATACCTTGCAGACGGCACAGGCTTATTTCTGGGTCTCCTGGAACACACTCTGACATACTCTTTCTTGTTTGTATTTTCTATAAACTTCACGTATACTCTTTTGTACTTTGATTTTGCATCTCCAAAATACCCAAGATACTGCAATGAGAAAAAACGCAGACACAGTACATGCAGATTATTGCACTCAATTTTGTACGGGATAATTTATATTTAAGTTTAAATAATGGGTTGCGTCCAGATATAAGTATGAGCACAAGGCATCTATCCCTACTGAGGGTCCTTCAGGAAAAGGCTGGGATGTAACATGGGAGAGCTGAAGTAGGTGGGAACTAAGCCCAAGAGAGGCAGTGTAATAATGCACAGCCAAAAAAAAAAAAAAGAGAGAGCTAACATTATTTTAGGCTGCATCAATAGAAATATAGTGTCCTGATCAAGGGCACTATTCTGTCTTGGTCAGACCTCACCTGGAGTACTGCGTCCCAATTTTGGGTACCACAATTTAAGCAGGATATTGACCAGTGGGAACATATGCAGAGGAGGGCAACCAAGATGATCAAGGGTCTGGAAGCCATGCCTATTTTATTTATTTATATTAAATTTGTATACCACCCTTCTTCTGTAGATATCAGGGTGGTTCAGAATATAAAAAAAATACAATATGAGGAATGGTTGAGGAAAATGGGTATGTTTAGCTGGTAAAGAAGAGAGTGAGAGAAGATATCATAGCCATCTTCAAATCTCTAAAGGGCTGTCACATGGAAGAGGGAAGAAGCTTGTTTCCTCCTGTTCCAGAGGCTAGGACCCAAACCAATGGATTCAGGAGATTCTGACTAAACATCAGGAAAAATTTTGACGGTAAGAGCTGTTAGACAGTGGAACAGATTCCCACAAGAGGTGATGGACTCTTCTCCTTTGGAGGTTTTTAAGCAGAGACTGGATGGCCACCTGTCATGTATGATCTAGTTGAGATTCCTGCATTGCAGGGAGTTGGACTAGATGTTCCTCGGGATCCCCTCCAATGCTATGGGTAGAGTTTTCACTTGTGAAAAGTCTTGATGCAACCAAATAAATAAGAGTTAAGCTTATCACACACTCCAAGTTAAAAGAATCAGCATATAAAACTTAGATCATGTCTTCATCGCTAAGTAAGAAGAAAGTCTAATAGGTTACTCTTTTATAAGCACATCCTTTAGCCTGAAGGTTTCGGTAGAATTCAACACACCAGTTTAGCTCAAAGGCACATAATATGTAATGTGCCTGGCCTGTGTTTCTGAAGCTTAAGGCATTAGGTGCTCATTTATAGTTGGGAGAATTAGAAATGATCCTTCGGTGGGGGAATAAAAGACCCAGTGGCCTTTCAAGTGGTTTCTGATTATTACAGTTAGTAACCACACATTACCTGATTTGCATGTCACAGCACGTTATGGCCGCCATGAACAAGGAGTGGAACAAGCAATGAATGCCTGCGAAGGGGAGAAGGAGGAGGTGGCAGCATGAACACTCCTTTCTGCCAGCCGTAGTCTATGAAAGAACTTCTATTATCATAGTGACTACAATGTCACAGGGTTCTTTGTTGCTGAGTACCAAGATTAATGTGGAATCCTTGTACGTACACTGTTAGTAGCTGTGAACTCTCTCTGTCCATCTCGCACTTCAGGAACAAACTTCTGCAACAAAGCTTTTTGAACCTTCCAGATGGCTGGAGGCTCCGTTCCTGTTTTTAAAGCAACCTGCAAGGGGAAAAAAGAAAAGAAAAGCAACCATGTCATTTAGTTTTATGCAGCTGAAGTGATTAGTTCCAACTGCACCCTATCTTCATGAGTTTGTATATTTTACACAGTATTTTATGTTTTCCATAGCAGCTCTCAACACATACTGTAATGATGGCAAATTCCTACTTGAAGGTCAAACTGAAGGGTGTGGGCCTTCCCAAGCATATAAATTAAGACCTTTGGCCCTCAAAATATTGCTAGACTACAACTCCCATCATCCCTATTGACTATGCTGGCTGGGGCCAATGGGAATGGGAGACCAACAGCATCTAATAGACCACAGCAGGTTTGCCACCCCTGGTATACATGAACATAATATTTCTCATGGGAAAACCCAGCACTACATCCACTGCACCACACTACCACAAGCCCCTCTTCCATTATTTTGAAGTCGTGACAACTAAACAGCAAATGGAAATATCTCATATTTGTGATCTTTCCAGTGAACTGCCCTGAGACCTACGGGTATAGGACGGTATATAAATTCAATAAAATAAAATAAAATAAAAACATACACACATCTCCTGCAATTTAATGTTTTAATAAGGCCATTTGAAAATGCTGTAAAATTATATAGAACTATCAAAACCCAACCAAACAGTATTTACTGCAGATCTGAATACAGCAGAACCTCGGGTTACGTTACCCTTGGGTAGCGTAAACTTCAGGTTGCGAAAGCAGCAAACCCGGAAGTGTTTCACCACTCGGCATGCGCAGAAGCGGTCTCTCTGGTTGCGAAAACTTCAGGATACGGCTGGACCTCTGAAATGTATCCCGTTCGCAACCGGAGGTACCACTGTACAAGCAAACAACAATGAGAATTGTCATATCTGCCCCAGAGATGATATTGAGTTAACAAGTTGTTTTGAGGGTGGGCTGCTGTTTTCTTCTGGTTTAATGGCCAATTTCAAACCATGGTCTATCAACTTAGATATCAAGCAAAACCAGTTGAATTTCCTAAACAATGTTTTAGTAGGATCTCAATTTGTGTCTCCATGTAACAAGCAATCATAAGATTGAAAAGTAATACATATGCATTTAGAAACGCTAGTCCCTTGTTATCAGAAAAGATTTGTACATATTTACAGTAAAGTACCAAAAAGCTACAAGATACCAAGAAAAGGTATCTTACACATGGCAGGAAATACTCTTTGATCAGTGTGTTCTCTTAAATTGCTCAAAGCAAAATTATTGATTACCTTTAGTAATTCTATATCTTCAATCTTCACTACAAATTCATCACGTTCTCTGTACACGCCCTCGCCTCCACTTTCTCCGTCGTCGTCCTCAATATATCCTTCTATTGCAGCAGTTGCCTGTGTTTTTGCTAAGTGTTCTGTAAGAACTCTGCCCATCTCATGTTGCACTAAACACATTTTCACCTGAGAATCTGCCACAGAACTAGTTGTTTTGGAAGATTCCTTCCTTACGACAGTATTGGTGGTGGCATTAGATAAAGTCTTGATGATTTCTGAAGTAAAAAACCAAGGATTTTTTCATATTTCAATTAACGACTGTTTTCAGCTTATCGTAAGCCACTTAAAATTGTTCCCGAGTAGAACAAAATGCTAGTTCCACTGATGACATTAGGAGGATCCCCTATCTGAAATCCTAGGCTACTGTATGTCTAACATATTTACTTTTCATTAAAAATTAGTGCAGCATACCAGAAAAAGACTGAAGCTTCAACACCATCCCCCAAAAGAAAACAAGGCACCCTCAAATTTGAAAGGTTTGCTGCTATGGAAGAAATTGGATCCTCAGGGTGCTAAAAGGGAATGCAAACAGACAAGACCACACCCATCTTTTAATATGTATGATAAATGTGTTGTGGTAAACCTAAGGTGGACTGGGATTTTTCAAAGTTGAATTTGTCTCTTAACACACAATCAAGAGCTTAGCTTTGTGGAGACACTTTCAAAGGTAAGACTTGGACACAAAATATTCATCCTAAAATAAAAAGGACAGTTACTTAATAAAAAGGACAGATATTGAATTATTTATCTTGTGCTGCATAGGATATGGCTCATTGTGTTACTGTTTATGCACCGTTAACAGGGAAAATAAACTTTTTTATAAAAAGAAGCTTAGGCATTAAAATGACCCTTAAGAAGAGAATGATTGTGTAAAGTCACATAAACATATTACAACATTGTTAAGCTTTCAGAATGAATTTATATCAAACCAAATTAAATCAGGCCTATAGGTTGTATCCAACGCAGCTTACACTGCGGACTTCTGTGCATAAAAACATACCTTCCTCTTCTGGCTTCTCCAGCCCCTGTGCTGGAGAAATCTTATCCAGAGGGGTAGGGGATCCTCTAGAACAGAGTTTGGGGTTGTGTGGTGGGAGGAAGCACTGTTGCATGAGTGGAACTGTTTGCACAGCACTGGATGAAAACCATTGTTTCCCAATATAGATAGTGGAATGTGGCAACGCTTACAACCATTTTCAAAAAAGCAAAATATCCAGGTATATTTTCACCTGTCAGGATCCTGCTTTGCCTAAATAAGAGTGAAATATAAATATCTGTCTACAGCATTTGGGATAAGCAAGAGCGAATCATTTGAATCTTTTACTTAAGTTATTTTAAAACCAGATCCACATATCCAATTGTGAACAAAATAATCTTTACCTGATTTTTTCTTTTTATCAGAAGCATCGTCCAAAGTTGACAATGCAGAAGTGATGCACTTTTGAAGATCCTGGTTAGCCCCTACAGAATCTTCATCAGAAGAAAACGATGGCAATGCTTCTGAATTTTTTTTCAGTTCTTCCTCACCCTTTCTGTTTGAACATTCAGTGCTGCTCTCAAGTGAGGCAGAAGGTGCTGCTGCTGCCAAGTGAGGTTTTGAAAGTGGATGTGGACAAGGTGCTCTAACAACAGGAGTAACAGGTCTCCGCACACGACTGGGAACACGCACAGCAGGAGCTGAAAACTGTTGCCTGGGTCCACCTTTTAAGAAATCTAAAAAAGATGCAATGAATCCTGTTCTGACTTCTGGTTGTTTTTCTTCCACCTCTTTTATTTTTTGCCTCATTTTCTCTTGATGCTGGTAAGTTTCATGGCAGCTTTCAGGAGCAGGGGAATATGGCAAGGCTGCATCAGTTCCTCTTGAATTCTGACGTTTGCACTGTCCACTACGCTTCAATTGCTTCTGGTGCATGCCATCTTCGTTGGCAGTTTTAAGCTGATTTTGTCCCCTGTCCTTTTGCTTCTGAAGTTCCTCTTGTGATAAATCTTGGCTTTTGCCTTCAGCTCTGCTGCCATTTTCATCACCTGGTTGTTGCATAGATATTGGCTGCAGTGGAACTTTAGTTTTGCTTCCTGTCACAGTGTTGTCACTTTCCATGTTAAAAACACCATGGGGTGCGGCACTCTCATTTCGAGCCCTACCACTTAAAACAAGATCTATATCTTTTACATTTATTGTACTATCCACATGAATACCGTTTTTATCTTCGCATTCATTATCAATGCCAGACTGCTGCTTAACTAAGCCAGGAACCTGTTCGTGCCTCTGTTCAAGCTCTGAGGTAGCAACTCTACTAGGAATGTTGTGATCAGGAGTCTCAAGGTGTTGTTGCTCAAGGCTCCTATTTTTTGGCTGCATTGTAGGCACTGCTGTTAGGTTTAGTGTAACCTGGCCTCCATTTAAAGAAACATTGTTTATGTTCAGTGGCTTTCCAACAGTTGATGAGTTGTTGAAGCTAGAAGTCACGTGTCTGACATCCATTGTCTGGAACTGAGACTTAGAATTGTCCCCATTTTCAACTGACTGGATATTTTCTTCATTAGCCGTAGATTTGGCAAATTCAGACGTTGTTCCTACACAAGCTGCAGCTGTTGCTGCCAATATATCTTCCACATTAGACAGTATATTCCTCTCATCGTTGAGAAGCATAGACTCTGGAAAACATACAGAACTAAGGGAAACAAACTGATTCTTAGATTCATGATCTGGCCGGACAAAATTCTCTTTCAATGTAAAGTGTTGCTGTAGTGGCTTTGATGGTTCAGAAATGTTCATTTTCATAACTTCAGAGTTCTGAGAATGAAGCTGCTGCTGAGAATGTCCTCCATTACTCTGAATCATATGACCATCTATGTGAAGGAATGGGTGAGTCACCTGCTGAGAACCCTGAAGACGCTGCTGGACTTGTGAGGAACCTTTCGTGTGGCCCAAGCCAGATTGTAGTATTGACTGCTGAAGCATTTGCAAATCACAGGCAGATTCTAGAAGTACCTGTGCACCAGGCAAACACAGCTGCTGGCCATGTCTTATGGCTTGACTGTGAAGCTGTGGTGGTGTGCTCATGACTTGGCCCTGTTGCTCTGATGCTTTCGCTTCATGTACTTTATGCAGAAGAGAATGCTGCTGGCTGAGTTCTTTAGAATCCACATTTACTTGGCTTGTTGGCAATAAATTAGCTGCCTTTTTAATATCATGGCTTCCTACGTTAGTGATATGGCCAATTTGCTGGGTGAGCTGTGCCACAGAACTAATCATTCTTTCGTCTTTTTTTGATCCCTGAAAAGTAAGCCCAACAACTTGATCTTCAAGACGGGAGTTACTCCTGATTACACTTTGAGAATACCTATTATCTGCTTTGGAAACTTTGTAATTTGTATCCTGAGCATTAACTTCATCATCGGTTAGCCTCTGAGTGGAGGAATCCAAAGATGTTTGCTGTTGCAATGCCTGCATATCTTGCATTGGGAACTGTTCATCTTGCTTACACGTTTGATATAAGTTAGGGTCAGATTCCCTTTTGATGTATAACTTAGTATCTGAGGAAGACCTGTTGTTCTGCAATGCCTGTGAATGAGCTGGCATTGCAAAAGAAGTTGACTGGACAACAGGCAAAAACTTTTGAGACTGCGGAGAAGATGGCTCTTGTGCCTGAGAATGTAAAGAAATATAGTTCTGGGGAGGGCTCGAGGCTGACAAGTTCTGAACATGTGGAGAAGAATATGGAAGAGATGGCGACGTTAATGTTGTGTATGTTTCTGAAGGACTAACCACTGACAAAACCTGTGATTGAGATGAATAGCTACCTTGGGATCTGCTAATGGTTGACAAACCCTGAGAATGACTAGAAGAGTAATTTTGAGATTGGCTGACTGACGAAAGATCCGTTTGCCCAGAGTAACTGCCATTTGAAATAGAACTTAATACCTGTTGATCAGAAGAATAGCTTAGTGTCTGGCTATCTGAAGTAATTGCCTGTGATTGCCCAGGAAAAGCAAGTGTTTTGTACAGTGGTGGCAGCTTCTCAACCTTGATGGCTGAGAATACCTGTGCATGACTGACCGGTGGCACATTCTGCGATTGTGTTGAAACATAGTTTTGTGATTGGCTTACTGACAAGAGGCTTGGAAGCTGTGCTGTAGAATAGATTTGTGCTTGACCTGCTATTACAGAATTCTGGCTCTGTGCAGTTTTGGAAAAGCTTTGCGTCTGCACAGTAGGGGCAATGCTTTGTGGCTTAGGAGTCTTTGTTGATCTTGGTGGCTGCTTCGTAGAGCAGTGTTTTGCTTTTGTAGTGGAAACAGATGGAAAACCAGGTGATGGAATCGCTGATGTGTATGACTGAGCAAGTTCTACTGAAACTTGAGAGGTCTTTTGCTGGGGTCTCCCATTGCTCACCTGAGTAGAATCATCGACTGGGCTACAAGATAGGGAAGACTGACGGGATGTATCCTGAAAATCATTTCCACTTGCACTTGATAAATAGTTGTGTAAAGAATGCTGTGAACCAGTCAGTTGTGCCTGAACAGACTGTGTGCTCGAAGGCCGCTGATGGTGCTTAATAACACTACATTCTCGCTGCAGGGTTCTTTCAATTGAGGCAGTGGAACCAGTAAACAGAGGTGAACTATATACTTGTGGAGCCTGCTGAGCTCCTCCAAGTGATGAAGGCAACAAACTGAACTGTGGCTGCAAGAGATGGGGTGCAGACTCTTGAGCAGAGCGGTATGTTGAAGACTGTGGTGGTATGCTGGTACTTAACACAGAACCGCCCAGGCGCTCAAAGGCCAGCGCTGTGGGAACTGTGCTCTGGGATGTCTTGATCTGCAATAAAGGGTCATGAGCACTAAGAAGACCATTTGATGTCGGACTGAAAGTTGCATCTTGAAGTGTTAGAGAAGGAGTAGCAGCAAAGTTTCTACTGCTGAAAGTGTTAGGATGCTGATAGGCTGAAGTTGGTGGAAACGTCCCAGAAGCTGGCAAGGCTCCAGTAACAAAAAGCTCGGTTGACGAATGCATGCCTGTTTTAAAAAAAGGGGGGAAAGACACAGATAAAAAAGGGGAGTGACTACTCAATAGTGAAATAAGAACATACGTAACCATTTTATTCCATCTTGGACATAATAAGAATTATTTAACCACTGCATTTGGAACCAGAAAAACTTATATTCTATTAATATAAAAGAGGATGGTGAAATAATTTGTCTTCCTGGAATTTGTTTTGGGTAGCCTCTGCTATCCTCCTACTAAGCTTGTATATATGGTGACAATTCAGGGACAAGTGGCTGCAAACTAAACATAATCCATGTTAAGATTAATATATTACTGTGCAATAAATCTGGCAATCTGAAAGAGGTTATAGAGCCTGTTTTTGGTAAGACTGTACTCTGGATCAGGAGCACTGGGGTGGGGGGTGTTTATTGATCTGATACTTTCCCTGGATATTAAAGTGGTGCAGTCGCAATAAGCACTTTTTTAAAAAAACCAGATCCACTGTTGAGCCACTGTTGGGACGCGGGTGGTGCTGCGGGTTAAACCACAGAGCCTAGGACTTGCCAATCAGAAGGTTGGCAGTTCGAATCCCCGTGACGGGGTGAGCTCCCGTTGCTCGGTCCCTGCTCCTGCCCACCTAGCAGTTCAAAAGCACATCAAAGTGCAAGTAGATAAATAGGTACCGCTCCGGCGGGAAGGTAAATGCGTTTCCGTGCGCTGCTCTGGTTCACCAGAAGCGGCTTAGTCATGCTGGCCACATGACCCGGAAGCTGTCTGCAGACAAACGCCGGCTCCCTCGGCCAATAAAGCGAGATGAGCGCCGCAACCCCAGAGTCGGTCACGACTGGAGCTAATGGTCAGGGGTCCCTTTACCTTTACCTTACTGTTGAGCCAATTAAAAGTCTTTTCTGGAGAAATCAGTACTGTCTTAGTTAACCACATGCTAGCACCTCCAGGCCAGACTGTTGTAAAGCTTTCTACGTGAGGCTGCCTTTAATGATAGTTCAGAAACTACAAATGGTCTAAAATAAGGATCCAGAATGTTATATAGGACACAGAGGTTGCAGTGTATTATTCTAATTATGCATCAACCATATTTGCTGACTGTTTCAAGACTCAATTTAAATTGCTTGTTTAATCTTTAAAGCTCTAAAAATATTGGAGCCATGTTAATTTAGGGTCCACTGCTCCCAGCTGAGTCTGTTTGTCACTTGAGATCTGTATCTGAGGCTCTCATGGTCCCACCCTTATGTGACATTATGCTCAATTAACAAGGAAGGTTCTTGAGACAGAGCCTTTCCAATAGAGGCACTGAGACTGTGAAATGCTCCCTGCCTCCTTGAAATACATTGGGATTCTTCTTTTAAATTTTACTTTGCTAATTTGTTGTGTTTTAAAAATATTCTAATCTACTGCTTTTATTATTTCTTATTGTGTTACTATTATTTATTTTATGTTGGAGAAATACAAATAAATTTATTAAAATAGCCACCAATATATTCAATTTAAAACTACACTGAAGTCAATACAAACTCCTTGTATTCTATCTAGGCTCAGTTTGCAAAACTCTCCCACTGCCATAAAAAAATCGACCCAATTTCAAAGAATGTTCCATTTCAAAGAATGTCACAACTGATTTAATAGAACTAATCTTGAATTCCTGACCTCTTTTTCAAGAGAACAATATGCTAGGACTTTTGTTTTAGCTAATGCTTTAAATGTGACCTGTGACACATATACAACAAATTCCTGTCTAGTTTTAGGGTTTTTATGTGTTTTATCAACATATAGTTAAATGGCATTAGGTCTTTCGGAGTTTCTGATGTGCTTCTTATTACCATGCAAGTTCTTCAATAAATACAATATTGTATTTATACATTATTGTTCACAGGGGAGAGAGACTGCAACCATGATGGTCCCTGCTAACAAGTGTGCAACTATGTTAGCAAGCCACTGATTTTTTTGCTAGGTTTTTGCAATGCAAACTTATAGGTCGAAGACATCAAGGACTTCTGACTGCATACAGACACACCATCAGCCCTGACAGCCCACATGCTAAACTGACCCAAGACTAATATTTTCATAGAAGTTCAATTACCAGTTTTGTCCTGCAAGGAAGTTAGACCAGTTTTGCAGGAAGAGATCCAATGTTAAGTGTTTATAACTGGATTATATACTGATTAAAGAGCAATAAAGGTAAAGGTAAAGGTACCCCTGCCCGTACGGGCCAGTCTTGCCAGACTTTGGGGTTGTGCGCCCATCTCACTAAAGAGGCCGGGGGCCAGCGCTGTCCGGAGACACTTCCGGGTCACGTGGCCAGCGTGACATCGCTGCTCTGGCGAGCCAGAGCCGCACACGGAAACACCGTTTACCTTCCCGCTGGTAAGCGGTCCCTATTTATCTACTTGCACCCGGGGGTGCTTTCGAACTGCTAGGTTGGCAGGCGCTGGGACCGAGCGACGGGAGCGCACCCCGCTGCGGGGATTCGAACCGCCAACCTTTCGATCGGCAAGCCCTAGGCGCTGAGGCTTTTACCCACAGCGCCACCCGCGTCCCACCCAAAGAGCAATACCTAGTTACAAATAGAAGTTAGGCACAAATGGTTGTCAAAATAGATGTTTATTAAAGACTTAAAACACTTAAAATGAAAATATTTCCCTAGAAATGCAAAACAAAATGGGGAAAAATTTAAAACAAACATTCTCTCCTAATTTCTCTATGATACTAATATTTCATATATTTATTTACTTATCTATAGAGGAACAACAGACTTAAGTTTTGAAAATTAGGAAAATGTCACCTGGCTGCCATGTTGGAGCTCTGAACTGTGGCAAGAGAGAAGTTCCTGAAGAAACAGCCTGAGCATTGCGGGATTCAATTGCAGAGAGAAAATTCATAACTGATGTATCTTTAGTGTTGTTATTGCTGCTGTGCATAGTGTTATCAAAAATCCCAGAAAGGCCTGGAACAAACAAATCATATATGAGTCTGAGCACAAAAAACTACACATTACACACTATGCTGCACATTTAAGTGTGCAGCCATACATTCAATGGACATGTAACTCAACCATAAGACTTGCTGGCTAATCTTGGGTAAATTACGATCTCTCAGTCAAACAAGGAATTAATGGGGGAAGAAAGACAGAAGAATGTATTGAGATACTGGGATAATGGAAGTGGAGATTATCTAAATAAACTTCAAATGTATGTGAATTGTAGCACCATCAGTTTCAACATAAATTATATGCTCATCTTTTAACTCGCATTTTTTAAAGATTGAACAGTTCACATGAACAGCCCTTGACATCTAAATGTAATTAGCATAAGAATAGTGAGCAGATTATTTGTAGCTGTGCCTTTAAAATAGCTGTACATTTCACTCTCCTTCCAAAAAAAGGTTCACACTCTTCAGAAATTTGACAGCTAGTCATGCAGGTAAGGTGGTGACAGGGAAACAGAAATTACTTAAAACATTAATTTATGAAATGTTTTTTAAAAACATTTTTATTTGATGAAGTGCATAATAGCACTACCAGGATAGTGCAAATGATAATGCACGTTCCTCAAAATATTCTCCTTTATCTATTCCTTGTGAGCATCTAAGTCATCTGCTAGAAGTGTGCTAGAAATTTATAACTGATTTTATACAAAACTGAGAAACATATCCATTTAAACTGAAGATTCACAGAGAATTATTACCGGCGGGTAGGGAAGTAGTGGCGTATGCAGGAAGCTGGTGGGAAGTTGTATATGTTTGCCTGTGAAAATCTGTTTCGGATGAATGCCCTCCTCCATAGCTTAAACTGGGGGGAAAGTAAAAGTTATAAGACGTAAAATGAGTGAAAACAACAACATGACAGCGAGAATCACATAAAAAGGGATAAAGCAAAATAACCTCAAAAGAACATGAACTTTAGCGATTCAGGAGTTACTGATCTGTGGCAGTGCCAATTCTTTACACAATATCAATGCGCATCAACAAACTGATCCAAGAAAGCTGATTTAGTTTACCAAACCAACAAAATAACTTTTAAAACATTAACATATCAAAACAGAGATTTGTTTCCTTGACTTATTTTTTTCTTCCTAGACACATATGGGCAGTATCCATAGCTATATTTTTGGATTGAAGTTGTCTTGAGTTCTGGAGACCTCAATCACATAAAATATTTGCAGAGCTTCTCAGAGTTCAAATAAAATTATAAAATGTGTGCAGGACAGGGCAGCGTGTGTGGTTCTGAAATTTGGGGAGGGTTTTTCTTTTTTGAATTTGCTTGCTTGATGTTCTCCTTGGGAGGGCTGTGCCCCAGAAGCCCTAGTGGACCATCTCCCACTGCTTAAGCTCCCCCCCCACCCAACCTGAAGACTGGGTAGGTTGGAGAAGGGTGATGGCCTCCACATTTGTTTTGAATGCCTCTAAAGTGCAGTGCAGCTGCAAGAGGATCCTTGCTTTCTTCCTCCAATTCCAAGGTGGGGGAAGAAGTCGAGGATCCACCACACTTGCCAGAGCACAGTGGTCCTCCTGACACTGATATGAACCTCTTCCACATTTCCCTTCATGATTGTCTGGCCTCCCACATCAGAGGTGAAACAAACAAGAGGAGGTGGTGACTATGCACAGAGTAAAGGTAAAAGTAAAGGAACCCCTGACCATTAGGTCCAGTCGGGGACGACTCTGGGGTTGCGACGCTCATCTCGCTTTATTGGCCGAGGGAGCCGGCGTACAGCTTCCAGGTCATGTGACCAGCATGACTAAGCAGCTTCTGGCGAACCAGAGCAGCGCACGGAAATGCCGTTTACCTTCCTGCTGGAGCGGTACCTATTTATCTAGTTGCACTTTGATGTGCTTTCAAACTGCTAGGTGGGCAGGAGCAGGAACTGAGCAACGGGAGCTCACCCCATCACGGGGATTCGAACCGCCGACCTTCTGATCGGCAAGCCCTATGCTCTGTGTTTTAGACCACAGTGCCACCTGTGTCCCTATGCACAGAGTAGGCTCCTGTTAAGAAATGCAAACATGAAAATATACCAGGACAGGTTTGTTTTGGTGGTGGTGGGGACTGCATACCCACCACCTGAAAATAATGCTACATGAAAGATGTAATGGTTAGATGTGGGCTGTATGTTGCCCAACCAAAACATAGTATTTACTGAAGAATGATCCTTAGTTCTCAACTTTTAATAGCGATAATTTTAGTGGCAATTAAAAATGTTAAATTCAAATTTGTGTTACAAAGGAGCAAAAGCAAGTTATGTTAAGAAAAATACTTAAGTTTCTTTTAAAATCTGTTACAATTTGAATGTAACCATAAATAATGTACGTTTAATGGTATTATTGATATATTAGTGTGGCAGAAACATGCATGTCATGCATGTCAAAGAAAAGGAGCTATTATAAGCTATGCAGTATCTTTTGGTTTTGACACCAGTACTGAGCTGCTGGAATCACTCTACCTTGAAAATCTATACTGTACACTAAAAGACACATATTGGACTATTATAAACATCTTAAACAAGTGCTTAGTCATTCTACTACTTTATGCACAATTTGAAAAAATACAAATTTAGTATTTTTCCACTTCCTTTAGGTGCTGCCTAACTAATGTTTAACAATAAACAAGAGAATGTTATGGGAACCTCCAATGTTAGCAGAAGGGTCAAAACCACATTATTATTAAAATAACATGTACTTTGCTAGAAAGAGCTAACAGAATTGCACCAGCATCTCAACTTGCGTTCTTTCTCAAAACTATTGTACTCCACAAAACTTATACTGTATTTCCAGTAAACATTTGGAGCAGCTATATGCAAACAACCAAAACAAGAGAACATAAACACCTTCACCAATGGAAGGAGCAACTTCCATCCTCAATGAATGAATGCAGAGGCTTGAGCAGAGAATTTATGAGACTCTGGACTGCATTGTATACATTACATATTATTTGGCATTACGGACTCGATCCAGAGTCGTGTGAATTTTAACTGTTCTGGGAAATGAGACTGCATCTTCCTCTCAACTGTGGCCACTAAAAATCCTCAGCAAATGCTTGTGTTACGGCACAGATCTCTGCAATGGGAAGAGGAATCTGAAAACCAGGCGGAGGCAGGTGGAAGAAGCATCACTGAAGTAAATCTACATTTAAATAAGATAATATTATCTTTGAAAACTTTTTTAAAATTAGTCATCTCTTTTATATCCCCTTTTTACATCAGCTAATAAAACTAAGAAATCCAAAGCAGACACACCCTGAAGAAAAATCTATATTGTCATGTCAGGAATCTGCTGAATTTGATAGTTCAGTTAGAAAAAATGATACAAGAGGCGGTGGTGGGAACAGCTTACAGAGGCATTAACCTGCAGAGCAAACCAACAGTAAAAAAAGAGCAAAAGTTCTGCAGCATGAAGCCTCCAGTGGCTTTTTTTTTTTTTTTTTTTTGAGAGAGAGAGAGAGAGAGAGAGAGAGAGAGAGAGAGAGAGAATGAATTGTTGGGCTGCTATTAGGAAGAAAGTTTATGTAGAAGCCTATACAGTGGTACCTCTGGTTGCCTGTTTGCAACATGAAAAGAGCGCAACCTGCAGCGGCGCGTCTGCGCATGCGTAGGTCACGATTCACCACTTCTGTGCATGCATATGATGTCATTTTGCGCAACTGCGCATGCGGCGAAACCTGGAAGTAACCCTTTCCGGTACTTCTGGGTCGCCGTGGATGTAACCTGAAAGAACGTAACATGAAGCGGACATAACCAGAGGTATGACTGTACTTCCCTTTCTTACACTGATGGTAACAGAAGCCATTCACATCTAAGAAAAACAAAGGGCTTATGTCACCCATCTGGGTCCGTAGGGAGGCAAGATCTCCCCCCCCCCAATTTAATTCTGGATTAGAAAGGAAAAGAACATTTCTCAGCTTCACTACTCACAATTTGCACCATCTGCCAGCACTCTCCAGACATGTGCTCCTTATTGTCAGTGAGCATCTGAGGAACAACAATGTTCTGAAACTGACATGGATTTGAGGATACCCCCTCAAACTAAACATTTAACACTCTGGTTAAGAGTGACAGAAGCACTATTATCAATCTAAACCAGAGTTTAATTTTAATTTAAGTAAAGCTGCAATCCAAATCATACCAGTTCTCTCTAAGAAAACAAACTTTGGATTGTGCTTCAACTAAGGGAGAGAAAAAAGTAACCTTTTGTTTAGCATCACTTGCTGATTGTATTGGTGCTGAACAGAAGATACGTAACAAAGCCACAGAAAGCTCAGTTGTTAGGTTGACTTGCCTTTCAATAGCCCGAGGGAAGAAAACTGTAAAAAAAGGCATCAGGGCTAACTAAGGGACTGGGTAGAAAGTATTATTACAGATATTCCATTGTTGTTGTTGTTGTTTAGTCGTTTAGTCGTGTCCGACTCTTCGTGACCCCATGGACCAGAGCACGCCAGGCACCTCTGTCCTCCACTACCTTCCACAGTTTGGTCAAACTCATGCTGGTAACCTCAAAAACACTATCCAACCATCTCGTCCTCTGTCGCCCCCTTCTCCTTGTGCCCTCCATCTTTCCCAGCATCAGTGTCTTCTCCAGGGAGTCTTCTCTTCTCATGAGGTGGCCAAAGTACTGGAGCCTCAGCTTCACGATCTGTCCTTCCAGTGAGCACTCAGGTCTGATTTCCTTAAGAATGGATGCATTTGATCTTCTTGCCGTCCATGGGACTCTCAAGAGTCTTCTCCAGCACCATAATTCAAAAGCATCAATTCTTCGGCGATCAGCCTTCTTTATGGTCCAGCTCTCACTTCCATACATCACTACTGGGAAGACCATGGCTTTAACTATACGGACCTTTGTTGGCAAGGTGACATCTCTACTTCTCAAGATATTCCATTAGCCCAGTCCAACTGAAGGCAAGTCATACTGTCATCCAGACTGTTTTTAGTTATGTGAAACCAGGCTAACACAGTATACAATCATACCTTGGCGCCCAAACGCCTTGGGAGTTGAATGTTCCGACTGCCAAACGATCGAAAACTGGAATTGAGTGTTCCAGTTTTCGAACATTATGTTGGAAGCCGAATGTCCGACAGGGCTTCCGATTGGCTGCAGGAGCCTCCTGCAGCCAATCAGAAGCCACGCTTTGGAAGTCGAACATTTTGGAAGTCGAACAGACTTCCAGAATGGATTCTGTTCGACTTCCGAGGTACAACTGTATAGTACATTTGTACCACCATTTTATGAAGAATTGTATGTATCAGTGACAGTGTACCACCAGGCCACGTGCCTGATATGTCCTGACAAGCTTTTTTAAAGACCCACCACCCTGCTAAACAAATTTAGCTCTGCCAAACAACATTCAACATTGGCTTCGGTGGTGCTGAGTTCACAGCACTCCAGAAACTGGAAGGAGTGTTCTGGTATGTTCCAATGCTTTGCCAGAACTCTTAAAAAAAACAAAAACAGATCAGGTCAGGTCAGATCAAAGTGCTTCTTTCCATTTCTGGCATGTTCTGATCTGCTCTCAATGGCAATGGTTTGTTTTGTGCCATCGCTACTCATGGAACTGATGAAGGATAAGACTCGATCTCTCAAGCAGAAGTGGTAGCTGGATGACTTCATGTGCACACTCTTTTTCCCAGTCCCTAGTACTCCAGAGAAGACTCTTGAGAGTCCCATGGACTGCAAGAAGATCAAACGCATCCATTCTTAAGGAAATCAGCCCTGAGTGCTCACTGGAAGGACAGATCGTGAAGCTGAGGCTCCAGTACTTTGGCCACCTCATGAGAAGAGAAGACTCCCTGGAAAAGACCC